AAGCAAATTATTTTAGAAAAATTGCTACACGTTCGGTCAGTCTGTCATGTGCGAGGCTGACTAGAAAACCGTGATTTAACTCAAACTTAATTAGCTTAATAATTTTAGCTTACTAAGTTCTAACACAAATACTTTTGAGTTCTCAATTCTTTTAAAACAAACAATATTTCGTTATTTTAATCAACTCATTAGTAGGTACAATGATAGAAAATTTATTTTAATTAGAATTTTACTTTTACAGGTTCTTCGCAAAGAATTGTATCTGTTATTTTACACTTTATACACTGCTGAAGATAATTTTGTTGGCTGGGCATCGTTTGCTCCAACATACATTAAGAAACGTTCTCTATGTATATCGTTTGAGGTTATTGAACTTGTCCGATTTTTAGATGTATGCAATAGCTTTTAATAGTACGATGCATCGATTGCACACAGCCTACGAAACTCTCACTGAGCAGGTGTCACAAGCTTCGGTCGAACATAATAATAATGACCACTGCAACTCGCGGTCACGAACAGACGAACGTTTTTTGGCAAACGAAACTCCAAAATGGTGATATACAACACAAAATTATCTCCGTTAATTATAAGAACCGTAAGTCGAATAAATTTGTCTTCTTTCAATAATTTTAATAAGCTGTATATGATATAAAAATGTTCTCAAACTTTCCTAGTGCCTTTAGAATTATGTTTTCAATATAATTATTTTGATCTAAAAATACCACGGTAGAATTTTTATTTCTACATGTAATTCTAAATGATATGTTTCAAGATTCTTCGTCATCGTTTCTTAGATTTGGATCGAAGTTTCGAACATTTATTGATAAGCGTCAAGCTTGTTTTCGCATAGTCGGACGAGACCATAACACATGGTTTAAAACCTGACCGCACTGGTCGCTCGCATTCCATTCGATGGCAACCCCTTGTAAGGAAGGCCACAAGAATGTAATGTTCTGTATCGACTTACCCAGGAAGTGATAAACCGAGATAGGCTGCAGTTATAGAAACACGATTTCTTTTCTATGTTATAAAACTTTTGGAAATATCAAGTTATATGTCATGAACAATACAGTATATTGTATACATATACATATTATCTATAGGTACATCTGCCAATGAAACGACGCGATATCATACTGTAGAGACTGCGGAGAATCAAGCGAGTTGCTATGGTATTCGAATTGCGACATTTCTTTAACTTTTTACGCTACATGTCCCATTCCTGGAACCTTTAATTACACTATGTATCAACATTTTAATGATCACGACGATTATTTTCCTAGCACATAAAATTTATATAGCGAATAAAAGCTATTTCATGTTGACCACTTTACTATGAACACACGGAACATATTACAAATATATACAGTAGCAAGTAATAGCAAAATTAAAAAGAAATATTTTAGTCATTCTCTAGTAAACTAGTCCCTCTACCATCTAAAAACAATCTCCAAGACATTTAGTTCAAATTTTAAAAAATTATTGCGTTTTAAAAAGACAATCAAAATAAATAATCATCATTTACCGCAGTATGATTGCGGTAAATATATATTCTTTCGATCTATAATGAGCAAAATTTGCTTTTCCATTTAAAAATAGGAATATAAATAACCTTGAAATTTTGAAAATTACTATTACTATTTAAGAAATACGTCATCACCGCCTCATCACTCCCCTTCCTTAAAACCCTACAACCTATGTATTAATTAACACTTTTTAATTAGATGCATAATTTAAAAGTTATGTGGGGTGTAGAAGTTCAATAACTCACCCTGTATATCACAAAATAGAAGCTAATTTAAGCTCGTGTTATTATGCTGCGCTGCTATAATTATAGCTTCTGTTAATTATATGTAAACCTTTGTAAGTATTATGTAAATCAAATGTGATCGGTAATGACCCTGATATTAATGCGGCCTTAACCCTCTGCGGGCAAGCATGTTTTTCGCAACTTCCGTGCGCGTCCTGGGTCGTTTCTGTACAGGACTGATTTTCTTACTGTTCTTGGCTTTCAAAAAATCTGAACAAATTCTGAATAACTTATCGAAGTTTCCACTTTAATATATCCTCATCAATTGAGTCAAATGTTTACCGTATCAATTGGTACGAATAAATAAATATCCCATAAAAATCAACAGTCAACATTCGCTTTGGACATAAACGAACCATTAGCTTAGCTTGCAATCCTATTCACCAGCATCATTTTCTCTAAACAAGAAAGTTGTTCGTCCGGTCAGTTTGAGAGTACTCGAGACATGTCTACGAGACGAATGTTCAAATATCGACCGGTTTCGTATATTCGTGTATTCCGGGCTGCATTGTTCGAAAGAGGGCTGCGCAACTGCTCGAAAATAGACAAATCCATTGTACGTGCGATGCGGAACGCGACAATAGACCCAGCGAGAGTGTGTGCACGCGCGAAATCGATCGGGGAACTGACTCACGGGGACGTGTCCTCCTGTCCTCCTGGTGCCGTCGAACACAAGCGATTATTTCCCCATATCGGCAAGGTCGCACGACCTTCGTCAAGGAATCGTGACGCGACCGCCACGTTAGACCCCGTCTATGGCGGCCGGGTCGTTGCCATCCAGTCGTCACAGTACATTTAACCTTTTTGCAACAACACTGCGCCGCGCCAACGCACGGAAACGATATCAGTGATGTAATATACGGACGATTCAACGTTTATTGTTCAACCGCTTCTGCCTCCGTATCGCTCGGCTAAGAGCAAGCTTCCTATTCGTTGTTATCGTTTATATAATCTGCTCGAGATAAACGCATTTGTGTCCATCAATCGGCTATGCACTTCAAACGGAACTCTTCCTACTAACTTGTGGACTTTATACTTTTATAGCGTGCACGACTGTTTGTAGCTCCATAGAATGACAAATTTAATGGAAGTTGGTCAACTGTTTATTACATGTGGATCCAGTAATTCTGTAATGTCTGTCGTAAAGATATTAGTAAATATTCAAGTCAGTACATTTTTTGACGCATGTTTCGCAGTATAAACATGACGGAATTACTAATCAGTGTTATAATACTGTTTATCAAACGGAATTTAAATATTTTTCTAGCAATCAAATCATTAAAGCCGTCCAATTTTGTTTACCAGTTCACGGGCATTTCTTATCTCATAGAATACATAATAATTTGAATTATTATAACTAAATTGTATATTCCATGGATTCGGTAAAATATTTCTAAAAGAAGAAAAATAGAATGAATAAATCGCTAATTTCAATAATTGCATCATTATTTTTTACATTGAGCAATTTCACTTGACCGTGTCATTACTTTTAGAAAAAAATTATGAGACTTTTAAACAAACAAAATATTCATTCGCATTTCAATATTTTGTAAAACTTAATTTTAGCTGATACGTGTACAGTACGCTGAACTGAATTTTTGAAGCATAATATTCTAGTAGATCAATTCAATATATTCAGCGTGTTATCGCATAGTCGATAATGCATACGTTGTCAAAGGGTATCATCACGTGCGTGCCTCAACAGATTTTCCAAGTTACCGAGATCGGTGGGCATCAATTTTTAGAGCAATTTACACGATGCAATATGGTGTACCTACAGGGATCGACAAATGAGCATTATCTTGTACCCAATTACGATAATGACAATGCTTTAAATCTGTTTACTTACCGATGATCGTAATTCCAAGAACATTAAAAACTGAACATCCTAAGCGAAATTATTCGCCAATTCATAGTTACACGATAACTCGTACATATGCACAATAAATTAGTAGTCAAACGAATCTCACCTAGATTATAATACTCGTTATAATCCAAAATATATACGGAATAACTTGCGTAGCATATATTTAAAGTACAAAAAGGAATGAAAAATTTGACTCCGCACAATCCAATACTGGATTGTTAGCAAGGATAATGTTGTCCAGTTACGCAAAGCAATCGAAGACAATCTATTATACATATTTAAATCACCCCCATAACTGTGGAGACACGTACAGTGGCCGAAATAATGATAGGTTCACCTCATTTTTGTGATCGTTACGATACATTTAGTAAAACACATAATTATTTAAATAATATAATTTTGATTAATGTGATTATTATATCAATATCATACAAATTTCGAAATTTTATGCTAAATAAATGTAGGTTCACTTAATATTTTTGTATTTACGAAACTATCATAAATGCAATTAGAAATTACTTAATTACGAAATAAACTTAATATTTCGTTGGCTTTCTGTTGTTTTATGGCCGCAAATAGCTTACGTAGCACACACTGTGGCAAAACGATGAGTTGTATCTTTTTGATAGAAATGAGATACAGCGATGAATATTTAAAATGAATACGTGACAGATACAAAGAATATAATATAAACAATTTGTAACCTTGAAAATACCCAGTACCACGTATAGTTGAATCATTTTCATGACACGTTATACATCATTTCACGTAGATTTTGACTCGCTGATTTCAAAGTCAATCGTAAAATTTGTCTACCACTTCAAAATTTTGAAAAAAATCGATTTAAATGAAAAGACTAACGAGATGCTACTAAGATGAACCTCTATCACTAACTATTTCGGCCACTGTAGAAACAGTAAAGATTCAACATTTTTTTACTTTGAATGATGCTTCGAACCTGTCAGCTCAAGCTCACCTTTTTGCGTTAAAAAGTACTTAGATCGTTTGTTTGTTTACCACTTCGTACGTGTGCAAATAGAAATTCCTTTCCAGCGATTCCTACAGGTGTTTCAAGCATTCTCTGGACAATATTTCACGTACATTTCATTGTACCATAACATCACGTCCTCCACGCTCACCGTCCGTGTATACGAAATCACGTTCTTTCATTAAACGCATCGAGTTTTCGCACTAGGGTGAATCACGTGACTCTCTTGTCCGGTACAGGTTCTTCGAATTGCGTGTGAGAAAATAGCGTCGAAATACAAACGAAAGTACCCAGCGATTGAATAAAGAATGAAGGATATTTTTGTAATAACTTACCGGAATGATTGAGACGATCCGCAACTGCGATCGAAAATCCAATCGGCGGATCGAGGGCCGGCGTCCCGCCGTGCCGATGCACTTAACAGTTTCAAACACTTCCAATGTCTGTTGAGTGGCACACCGGTGGAAATTCACAGGAATCACGAGATCGAGACAATCTCATAATCACGTTCACGGTATACAGCTCGAGGAGGACATTAAACTTTCTTTTCAAATTAAAACGACACGGTGGCGCGCCGAACAACGCTAAAATGCGAAACTATCGTGGCAACGGGTGCTTCGCTACTGTATGATGGTGTGCAGGGGTTCATTGTGTGCTCGCCTTTCAGACCGGCGATTGGTGGAGGGGATGGCGGAGGACAGATGGTTGCGGCGACAGTTACCGACGAGAACCGAGCTACGCCGAGACTGATTCCTTCTCGCTTCGTAAGATGGTGTGCATCGGTTTAATTGACCGACACTGATAAATCATTTGTTTAAACGCTGATAAACAATAAAATAGTCCGTCTTACGAAGTTTGCTGTTTTGCGAGAACCGTAGCACCGATGCGTTAACAAACTTTTGTATTAAGAGGCAATGTACACCAAGAATCGTGGCAAGTAGAACGAAAGTACAAAAATTCGTATTTTCTGAAAAGTTTTTTCTATTACAAAATGTGTATATCTATACACCTTAAATTACATGGTTACGTGTACAGTGCCAGACCAATGATTTGAATATTTTTTAGAAGGCAGAAGGACTCGTGTCGGACTAAACGACTTGAATTTTTTTTAGAAGATAGAAGGACTCGTCTACTAAACAATAACTATAATATGTACTTTTTTAAATGTTGCTATTATTATGACAAAAATATAAAAAACTCGTGCTTTTCAACTTTTTTATTTGAGCCTATAATGAACATTTAAAAAATACGTTTCGTAGATTTCGATAACTTATGTGCATGATAAAAATTTCCTCGAAATTCGATGACTTTGATATAAGCTATAAACAATTAAAGATCGGGAAGATTGCAATTTTGTCATGATTTTTGACACCTTCGACCAATAACTGTGAGAAATTTGCAGTTTCTTTTAAATTCCTTTAACGCTTATAATTCGACTCTGCATTAATCAAATTCGATACAATTTTCAGCATGCATATAAACTACCGAGACGTACAAAACGCATATTATAAATTTCTGTTATAAGTTCAGATAATAAAGTAGAAAATCATGAGTTTTTGATCTTTTTTTGTCATTTCAAGTAATAGTAAAATTGAAAAAGGTATTATAATCATTATCTAATATGCTAGTTCTTCTGTCACCTAAAAAAAATTCAAGTCATCTAGTCCAGTTTTAAAAAAGTAATACCGTTTCTCCAATTGTCTTAAGTATACAATAGCAGCCACTGTATATATCCTGCAATTTTTCAAGAAAAGTATCGAAAAATGAGCCATGTACGTGAGATCTTGTAAAGGCTATTCGGCGGAAAGAACGTTAGCGATTAACCATTTTAACTTTTGGCATATTTTTTATCTGAAATAAATAAAAAGAATTGTCTCTTATAACACATACTAAACGAAAGGTTTTTGTAATATTTTGATTTGTCGGAAAAGAGCAGCTATTTCAATTTCGAAGTTTGATTTTTCAGGGAAAGACCGTCTTTTGTTATTCGTAAAAAATTGGAGAAATTCTTAGAACAACTACTAGATAATTGTAAAATCAGGCTTTGCGTCAAATTTCAACTTAATTGGTTTATTATTTTTCGAGATATATCAGTTATTCTATTAGAAAATATAGTTTCGAGAAAAATGTGTTTTGAACTCTGAAGCGTTGTACTAAATGGTCTGTAACATTTCGATGTTACGGTTTGTAACGTTCAATGTTCTACTGTCGAATAAAATTCTTTTTAAGTAATCGATTTTGTTGAACCACCAAAGCGAATATTGTCCCATGTACTAACATTTTAGAGAATTTTTTTGCATTACAATGAATTTCAACTCGGTGTACCGAATAGCATTGCCGACTTTGAATAATATAATGTTGCTCCATCGCAAATATTTAATTCCCTTGGAAAATATGAAAGTACTTACAATCTCAAGTGAGTTATTTCAATTATGATTATGGACACTTATCTGTATTTTATTTCAACAAACTCTTCTTATTATTAATAAATTAGAGTAAATATATGTAACAAACTTGTATTTGCTAAAAATACCATCTGATTGGAAGCATTAATAAATAAATATACCAATTGTATCAGAAAGAATGAACAGATACTGTAAATATAAAATAATGAAATTATAGGTACAGAAAAACAACTGTTTGATGTCATTAACTGATCTATAAACATTTATGTTATNCAAACTCTTCTTATTATTAATAAATTAGAGTAAATATATGTAACAAACTTGTATTTGCTAAAAATACCATCTGATTGGAAGCATTAATAAATAAATATACCAATTGTATCAGAAAGAATGAACAGATACTGTAAATATAAAATAATGAAATTATAGGTACAGAAAAACAACTGTTTGATGTCATTAACTGATCTATAAACATTTATGAAAT